CTACTCTCTACTCTCTCTTCTCTCTCTTCTCTCCTTTCACCCTCGCTCTCTCCCCGCTCTCCTTTCCTTTCAATTTCCTGTCTCTCTTTCACTCCCTCCGTCGCTTCCTTTCATCCTTTCACCATTTCTGTCTCTTTCCCTTATCCCCTCATATCTATTTTTTTCTCTCACCTCCTCTCTTCCATCTATCCTCTCTCATTCTCTCTCTCTCTCTCTCTCTCTATCTATCTATCTATCTATCTCTATCTCTCTCTCTCTCTCTCTCTTTCGCTCTCTTTCACATTCTCTCTCTCTCTCTCTCTCTCTCTCTCTCTCTCTCTCTCTCTCTCTCTCTCTCTCTCTCTCTCTCTCTCTCTCCCTCTCTCTCTCTCTCTCTCTCTCTCTCTCTCTCTCTCTCTCTCTCTCTCCTTCTCTCTCTCACTTTCGCCCATTCATCTCTTTCTATCCCTCCCCTCTCCCTTTCTCTCCAATCCCCTGTCTTCCTTCTTCCCTCCCCTCTTTCTCCCTCCTCTCAGTTCCCTTCCACACTTTCTCTCTCTTACCTCTCAATTTCCTCTCACCCCCTCTCTTTCTCTCTCTCCATCCCTTCACCCTCTCTCTCTTTCACCCTCTCAGCCTCTCTCTTTCCATCACTCTCTTTCACCGTCTTACTTTCTCTCTTCTCATCCATGCCTCTCTCCCTTATCACTCCTCCCTTCCCTCCCTCTTTCCTCCCTCCCTCTCCTCTTCTCTCTTGTTCCATCTATCCCTCTCTCCCTTTCACACTCCTTCGTCCTTCCCTCCGTCTCTCCTCACTCCCTCTTCCCCTCCTCCCCTCTCCCCCTTCCCTCCCCTCTCCTCTCCTCTCTTCTAACCCTCCCTCCCCCTCTCCCCTTCCCTCTCCTCTCCCCCTCCCTCCCCTCTCCTCCCCTCTCCTCTCCTCTCCCCCCTCCCTTTCCTCTTCTCTCCTCTCATCCTCCCTCCCTCCCTCCCCCTTCTTCTTCCCTCTCCCCTCACCCTCTACCCTTCTCCCCCTCTTCCCTCCCTCTACCCCCCCCCCCCTTCCCTCGTTTCTCTCCCAGCGGGCCGGCAAATCGAGGAATAACTCGCCGAAAACATCAGTGTCGATCTCGCTTATTAACGTGTGTGATTGAAGGTTCGTCGATCTCTGAGGCAGAAATTGGGCAAGGGTCGTGACGGGGGGGAGGGTGGAGGGTGAGGGAAGGGGGTGGGGGGAGGGGGTGCAAGAGCTGTAATGTCGACTGATTTACTGGCTCTATAAAGTGTTAGTAAAATTGATGAAAGTTTTTTTTTTTTTTTCTTTCTTTCTCTTTTTTATTTTTTTTTTTTTTTTAGTTTTAATTTTTTTTTTCTTTCTTTCTTTTTTTTAATATGATTTTTGCCTTTTTTGTAGGAGTGGTGTTCTAGGGTAACTGTTTTAGTCCTTTTTTTTAAGGGTGATTTTTTTTTTTTTTTTTTTTTTTTTTTTTTTTTTTTTTTTTTTATGAGGGAAACATTTTAAGATTTTTTAAAGATAAAATGAAACGTTGTAGAGAAAACGTTTCTTTTCTGTTTTTAGGTTAGAAGCATAATGGTGGATTTTTTTTTTTTAGTTTTCTTTATTTTTTTTGGATTTCATTTACATTATATCATTTTTTTTTTTCAAATCATTACTCGCTTACTTATTATCATATTGTTTTTTATAAGACAAACACCAGTAATCTTAAAATGATAAAGAATAAAGTTACTGTCAAAGAAAAAGCTTAGATTTGTCTCAGAAAAATAGAATAGATAAAGAGTTGTGTTGTTCTTCTTAGTTTGAAAACAAGGCCTTAGTTTGTCAAAGAAATCTACGTGTTATCGAAGGGAAACATTTTGTTTGTGTTCTAATAGCAAAGAGAATGGAGAGAAATTCATTAGGGAATTGCAGACTAAAAGATTTATTTATGCTCGGGAGGCTATTTTAGAGTGTATATAGATAGACAGACAGATAGATACATAGATACAAATGCATATTTGTGTTTGTGTTTGTGTGAGAGAAAGAGAGAGAGAGAGAGAGCCGCATATGTATAACTATATGATTATATAATAGTTAATACATCTTAACTTTTTGATACTTGCACTTAAAAATGGTTGTTGACATTCTGTGACTTTACTCTCTGGTTATTTTACGTATAAGATATGTATGTGGTAGAGCATACTATAGATAGATAATAGATGGATGGATAGATAGATAAACAAATATATAGATAAATATAAATAGATGTATATAAATAGATATATATATAAATAGATAAATAGATAGAAAGATAGATAGAAATAGATAAATAGATAGACAGATAGAAAGAAATAGATAAATAGATTGATATATAGGCAGATAAACAAATAGATAGATAGGTAGGTAGACCGACAGGCAGATACATATGGATGTACGTACTATAGATGTATATATTGTATATGTATATATTTTACATTTATGCAAATTGGACAACTATTAACATATTTTTTCTTTTATTTTCAGAAGAATGAAATCAAGCAGGTGAGTTACCAGCTAGCGAAAAGAGGAGAGGATTTTTTTTTAAGAGTATGTCAAGCTTTCAAAATTTCAAAGTTTTGTGTGTTTTTTTTGTTTTTTTTTTGTGAACCGCATTCATGTTGATAAACGTAGAAAAGGTATGCATTGAGAATGAATATCTTTCACAATACAAGAGATGTATTCGACCGATTTCGAATATATGTTCGTCAGAAATACATGTATAAGATGTATTCGGAATATTCGTATAAGATGTATTGTATAAGATGTATTCAAATGCATTTTTTGCATTGTGAAGATATTCATTCATCGCTTTTCTATGTTTTTATTTCAAATGTACAGCGTGTGAGTGTGTTTTTGTCGTTGTGATTGTGTGTTTTTTTTTTGTGTTTATTTGTGTTTGTCTGTGTGTGTGTTTGTGCGCGCGCGTGTGCGTGTACTTTATGTGTAAACGTGTGCATATATCTGTATGTGTGCATCTTCGTGTGTAGATGAATAAGAATAACACCCCCCCCCCCCTACAATACACCATATACCACAACAACCGCAACCTCATATTAGCTACAGCCACAACCAGTTACAACCACAACCATAGTTATAACCGCAACTACACCATAACTACAACCACAGCTACAACAGCAACCACTACAACAACCACGGTTATAACTGCAACTACACCATAACTACAACTACAACAGCAACCACTACAACCACAACCACATTTACAACCGCAACCACAGTTACAACCACAACCATAGTCACATCCGCAACGACACCATAACGACAACCACAACTACAACAGCAACCACTACAACCACAACCGACCACCGACCATAGACCCAACACAGCGTTCCTTCCCAGTTAATTTGGATGAACTGGTACCGGTCTGAGTAACCGGGACAGCGACATCATTACGCTTTTAAACCGTCAAAGTGTCCAGGAGGAATGGCGTGCTATTCATTTTTTTTTTTTTTTTTTTTTTTTTCTCTCTCGATCCTTAAGTGTTGAGGGCGAAGGAGTGTGGCTTAGTGCTTGTGTTTTTTGTTTTTTTTTGCTTTGTGTGTTTGCTGTTGTTGAGTTTTGTGATTTTGTTCTAGTTGTTGTTGTTATTATTATTTTGTTGTTATTATTATTATCACCATCACCATAATCACAAGCATCACCATCATCATCACCATCACCACCACCAACACCATCGCTACCACCATGAACACCACCATCACTACCACCACCATCATCACCATCAACACCACCATCAACACCATCATCACCCCAACCACCATCACTATCAACACCATCACCATCAACACCATCACTATCACCACCACCATCAACACCATCATCACCCCAACCTTCATCACTATGAACACCATCACCATCACCACTACCATCAACACCATCACCATCACCACCACCATCACCACCACCATCACTCCCACCATCATCACCATCACCACCACCATCATCATCATCATCATCACCATCACCACCACCAACATCACCATCATCACCATCAACAACCATCACCATCATTATCATCACCATCACCATCATTACCCCCACCACCACCATCATCACCACCAACATCACCACCATTATCAACACCATCACCACCATCATCACCATCAACACCATCACCATCATGATGATCACTTGTCCGCATTCTCCGTCTCGCTCCTTCGCTCATTCCGGAATCCACGTCACTGAATCCATGTCAGTTTCATATCTATTCGAACTCAGTGTCATTCTTTATCGACCTCATTCATTTAGTTAGATTTATCCCCTTCCGGAGGTTATCATTTTTTTTATTTATGTTTTTATTTATACATATATATGTTTGTAATTTTTAAAGCCCTAATTTTAGATATATTTATTAGCGGTTTTCTGGTTTCTGGTTTTCTGTTTTTTTTTTGTTTTTTTTTTAGATGAATAGCAATTTCTAAGCAAAAAAACAAAAACAAAAACAAAAACAAAAACAAAAACGTTCAATTACAATCTACTGATATATATATTTATAATTTTTTTAATCCCTAATTTTAGATATATTTATTAGCAGTTTTCTGGTTTCTGGTTTTCTGTTTGTTTGTTTTTTTAAAGATGAATAGCAATTTCTAAGCAAAAAAAAAAAAAAAAAAAAAAAAAAAAAAAAAAAGAAAAAGCGTTATCACCTTTTATTGATCTATTTATTCTTTATTTATACATATATATGTTTGTAATTTTTAAAGCCCTAACTTTATAAAAAAAAAAAAAAAAAAAAAAAAAAAAAAAAAAAACATGTTCAATTACAATCTACCGATTTATTCCACGTCCAGATTCAAAAGTTTTTTTTTATTTTTTCTCTTTTTTTTTTTTTTTGTAAGCGCTTCATTTTAAACGTCCTAATTAAAAAGTTATATTCATTCATATTCTCGTTGTGATTTTAAAGTCCAATTTAAAACTCTGTTCTGATTTATTTAATTTATTTAGGATTCCCCGGATGTTAGGGAGAAAGCTTCTTGATTTAGGTGTCATATCATTTTTTTTTTCATGCCTTAAAAGACCTGTTTATTCCTATTTACCCATTTACCTATTTATCGTATTTTACCTATTCGTATTTACGCATTTACCTTACCTATTTACCTATTCCTTTTTACCCTTTTACCTATTTTCCCTATTTTACTTATTCCTATTTACCCTATTTTACCTATTCATATTTACCCTTTTACCTATTTTCCCTATTTTACCTATTCATATTTACCCTTTTACCTATTTTCCCTATTCTACCTATTCATATTTACCCTTTTACCTATTTTCCCTATTCTACCTATTCATATTTACCCATTTACCTTACCTATTTACCTATTCCCATTTACCCTTTTACCTATTTACCCTTTTACATATTTTCCCTATTTTACCTTACCCTACTATTTTCTCTTCAAGACTCCAATATCACAACCATTATTTGCCTCCACTTCCTCTTGAGAGATAATTTCGAAGCTCTAATCTAAAAAAAAAATATATATTATTCACAATCTCTTCGCCACTTGATAATTCTCTGAAATCAATACGATATTTAAATGGGAAATGATGGTGATATTTCCTTTTCCTGAATATACGTTATTGCATAGACTTTGATGTTGAGGAATGCTGTTTAAATCCCTTGCATAAAAAAAAGAAAAAAAATAATAACCTTGCAATTTCTAAACTATCAAAGACAACGAAAAATATATATTATTTTTATATATATAGGACAAAATCCCAGCTGTTGTTCAAGAGGTTATTATTGCATAAAAAAAGAAAAATAAAAAATATATAATCTTGCAGTCTCTTCAACTATCAAAAACAACGAAGTATATCTTTTTTTATAGATATTTTTTTTTTATATATAGGACAAAAAAAAACGCCGTTGTTCAAGAGCGATTATGATAATGAAAAAGGCACAGTAGCTAAAAAGCCGCGTAAATAAGGGAAAGAGAGAGGGAGAGTGCGTATAAAGGAGAGGCTGAGAGAGCGCGAGGTCAAACGTAAATCGCCGCCGAGCTTAGTGCGGACTTTGGATATTTATGTTTGAGAGTTGTCAATACTTGTTATTTGTATTATTACGTACATCCTTAGTTGAAAATGGGATTTATGTTTCTTGTTTATAGATATATGTTTGCTGAATGTTTGTTTGTTTGTTTGTTTGTAATCTATCTATCTATATATATGTATATATGTCTTATATGTTTTTTTATTATTTATTTTTATTTATTTATTTATTTATTTTGCTACATGAACAAATCTAAATATTTGCCATATATTTTCTTAGTATATAGGATAGCGAAATATTCGTTATATATATTTTTTCCCCTACTATTTGCTATGGATCTTATTGGGATATTCAGTACAAGAAAATATCACGTACATTCACTTTATTATATATGCCGTGTATGTAATATACTGGGATTATGAATACCGAAGATATTGATTTCTTTCCCGATTCCTTCTTCCTTGAGCTTCTTCGGGGGTTAGAAAGGGAATATCTGACGTAGAATGGCTTATTGCCTCGTGTTTGATTTTCCTCTCTTTTATTTCTTCTTTCTCTTCTCCTTTCTTCTTGTGTTCGTTTTTCCTCTCTTTTCTTCTTCTTTCTCTTCTCCCTTCTTCTTGTGTTTGCTTTTCCCTTCTTTTCTTCTTCATTTCTCTTCTCCCTTCTTCTTGTGTTTGCTTTTCCCCTCGTTTCTTCCTCATTTCTCTTCTCCCTTCTTCTTGTGTTTGTTTTTCCCCTCGTTTCTTCTTCTTTCTCTTCTCTCTTCTTCTTGTGTTTGCTTTTCCCCTCTTTTCTTCTTCTTTCTCTTCTCCCTTCTTCTTGTTGCCAGTTTGTTGGTATTGTTGTTGTTCTTCTCCTTACTCCTCTTCTATTTCTTCTTCTTCTTTTTCTTTTTGTGTTTGTGTGTGTGTGTGTGTTTGTGTGTGTGTGTGTGTGAGTGTGTGTGTGAGTGTGTGTATGTGTGTGTATGCGTGTGTGTGGTGTGTGTATGTGTGCGTGTGTGTGTGTGTGTGTGTGAGAGAGAGAGTGTGAGTGTGTGAGAGTGTGAGTGTGAGTGTGTGTATGCGTGTGTGTGGTGTGTGTGTGTGTGTGAATGTGTGTGTGTGTGTGTAAATGCATTTCTTAATTACGCATTGATTCGGAGTCTCCCTGAGGCATAAAGGGTGATCTCTGCCGTTTACTTGAGTTAGACATTTAACTCTCGTGTGGCCTCTAAGGTTCTTGATTTCACACTGGCTTTTCATCCTGATATTAGAGGCTTGTTTCCCGGAAATCTTTGTTGTGATGCGAGAGGTAGTGTGTGTTTCACGTGTGTGTGTGTGTGTGTTTATCTGTCTATCTATCTTTGTCTGTCTGTCTTTCTGTCTCTATCTGTCTATCTATCCACCTCTCTCTCTCTCTCTCTCCTCTCTCTCTCTCTCTCTCTCTCTCTCTCTCTCTCTCTCTCTCTCCTCTCTCTCTCTCTCTCTCTCACTCTCTCTCTCTCTCTCTCTCCTCT